TATCAACCAATCAAAACTACGAAACTTCTCGGCTTATATTATAATTAATGTAATCCACGGCCTGTACATGTTACTACAACAGCTTGCAAACTTAACACAGCCCACTGGTCACGAGGAGAGCCATATTTCTGCATTGTTTGACCCTGCACTAGTTACCTCAATTATGTAACGTTTGGAATTTTCCGTACGTTTTTAATAGCTTTGTTAAAGTCTTAGCGCGCTTAGAACTATGGGTATATACTAGTCTCCATCATTTTTCCTACAGGGGACTGTTATTGTCATTGTGGCTGTTACTGTTATTAAATAGTTAATACGAGGGCAATGCATGTGATCAAATCGACACAAGACCTCACAATTCCTTGTATGGCAAATTTAATTTGATTTTTGTTTAGTAACGAGGATCTGAAACAACAAATTCGTGACAAAGAGGATCATGTGAAAGAATATGAAGCAAAGTAAGTATGCAGTAAGTTACTAGAGATATACCTACGTCAAAATAAATTATAAGCGGCAGCGATCACGAGACTGTTTTAATTTCAGATAAGGAATTTCAAAATATGGATAGTCCGTTACTCCTATAGCTTGTTTCGGATAAGAGATGTGTAAAGTAATTTTAAAGTACGCTAGCAGAGATGGGCAGACTGACATTGTGACTGAATTTGTGGATTCAGGTCAAAATCTGACAAACGCCTCTTTCATTAGAATGAATAAATTTATACCCTAATCAGTTCATGTTTATGTAAGTATGTACGCTCCGAAAAACATCTTCGGCGACAATCCAAACATGGAAGAGACGCGTGTAACCTAAATCTTTGTACATTTTCATTTTATTTTGCTTTACTTTAAAAAAAAAAAACAGTATGAATGGTCTATAACTACAACAAAAACAATACCCTTTTTCAAAACGTAATTCCTATTTTTTTGTCTCCTAAAATATGAAAAAATGTAATAATTATTCTGGAGGTGAGGAAGCTAATTTCTGTGAGCAACCAAACGTCTTTGAACATGTTCATTTCATTTTAAAAAAAACAGTATAAACTTTCTATAAATACAAGAGAAACAATAGTTCATTAAAAAGAAAGGTAACA